CACCTAATCCTACGAAGTCTATTGTATGTTGTAATATGTATTTCACACATATATTTTGTAGGTCACAAAAGAGAAACAAGGTATTTCAAAGTCCATTTCTCTTTGTGCCAACATTTCCGATGGATTGCAAAAGTCTGGAATATCTGGATACAAATAAAAAATGTTATTTATGTATATATTAATTGTAAATATTACCATTACCAACCTATACTCAAGTGTGACTTTTACGTTAATTTCACCTTAAAAGCCATACAATGCCCTATTTTCTGATCTATGCTATAATGTTATTTCCTCATCAAAAATATACCTGGTGTTGTGTTTTGTTTCATTCACACATGGTAAATGGTAAAAGGTCACATTTTTCTATAGCGCTTTTCCACCTTCAAGGCACTCAAAGCGCTTTACAACAAGGAACCACTCACCCATTCACACACACATTCATACACCAGTGTACACAGACACTGTGGGCAAGGTGGGTAAAGTGTCTTGCCCAAGGACACAACGACAGCATTCATCTGTGGGAGCTGGAATCACTCCAGCCAACCTGTGGGTCAGTGGATCTGACCGCTCAAGCTGTGATGTTTATGTCGAGAGCTGGATTCAAACCACCAACCTTCATGCACATGCTTGAGTAACCTTAACATTAGTCTGTCTACATCTCCAAAGCTCAAAGTGCTCTGGTCCACCTTGTGATGTCATGAAGTGGTAGTTTTCACATTAACAGATACCTTTTACCTTTTGTTTTAGCAGAGATTCACTGCCTGTATTACAGTAACAGAGTGTTTACTGTTTGAGAGAAGAACTCAGTCTATACAGGGTTTGTGTGTAAATGAAATAAAACTCCAGGTATTTTTGGATGAGGAAACAACATCACCTAATCCTAATGAAGTCTGTAAGGGATGGGTAATATGTCATGTATCTCACACATATATTTTGTAAGTCACAAAAGAGAAACAAGGTATTTTAAAGTCTATTTCTCTTTATGCCAACATTTCTGATGGATTGCAAAAGTCTGGAATATCTGGATACAAACAAAAAAAAGTTATTTATGCATATATTAATTGTAAATATTACCATTACCAGTCTATACTCAAGTATTACTTTTATGTTAATTTCACCTTAAAAGTTATACATTACATTATTTTCTGATCTATGTTGTTTCCCCATTAAAAACATACCTGGAGTTGTGTTTTGTTTCATTCATACATTAGTCTTTCTATATCTCCAAAGCTCAAAGTCCTCTGTTCCAAACCATGAAGTGGTTGTTTTCACGTTAACAGCTCCTTTTACATTTTGTTAAGCAGAGACTGACGATTAAGGGGCTGAAATTATCCAAATGATTCTAGTGAAGGTGTATGGAGTTTAAAAACACAGTGGAGCACTGCCTGTATTACAGCAACAGAGTGTTTACTGTTTGAGAGAAGAACTCAGTCTATACAGGGTTTGTGTGTAAATGAAATAAAGCTCCAGGTATGTTTGTGGATGAGGAAACAACCTAAAGAAGTCTATTAGGGATGGGTAATATGCCTTGTATCTCACACGTATATTTTGTAAGTCAGAAAAGAGAAACAAGGTATTTCAAAGTCAATTTTTTTTGTGCCAAAACTGAATGTCCAAGATATTTTTGTACATTTCTGATGGACAGCAAAAGTGTAGTGTGACAAAAAAAAGGTTATTTATGCATTAATGAATTGTAAATGTTACCAAACTGTACTCAAATTTTACGTTTAATTTCACCTTAAAAGCCTCATCACAAACAGACCTGGAGTTGTGTTTTGATTCATTCACACGTTTAACACACAAAACCTGCATATTTAGGTTCTTCTCTCACACAAACAAACAAAAATCAAACTTGTGATATCAATAAAGGAAGAGGTCCACTGTGTTTTTAAACTCCATACACCTTCGCTAGAATCATTTGGATAATTTCAGACCGGGAATTGTCAATGTTTACTGAACTAAATGTATAAGGTGGCTGAAAACTATTGGCTCACAAAGTCATAAGGTGGAACAAAGCATTTTGGAGCTTCAGAGATGTAGACAGACTAATAATGCAGGATTACTTACATGTGTGAATGAATCAAAACACAACTCTGGGTATGTTTTTGATGAATTAATAACATTCTAACACGACTCCAAGCTCACAAGAATCGGTTTTGTGTAATATAGGATCTTTAATGTTCAACTATTCTTTCTTGTCTTTCTTGAGATTGAGGGAGAAAACTATGAATAACACCATAAAACGTCCCATCCGTAGCGAAACTGTCTGACCACCACAAGGAGAAGGCAGACTAAGATGTACAAGTTAATTAAAGCAGGGGCACTAATGGAGCGAGTGTCAGGCTGCAGAGACAGCATCCATCACGAGCAGAGTGAGGTGGAACATAAAAATATGACCCTCTCTCTCGAAGGAGCGATAAATCTGTGATATGAGCCTTTTACACTGAATATTCACCACAACAGACCTGCTGCGCAAACCCATTGAACTCACTGTGCTCAAGTGGATATTGATCAAAAGGGCATTAGACAAGATGCAAATGGTTAACTCTTAAACATTAAAATCTGATGTCACTCCACAGTGTTGCTTGAGAGAAAGAAGTTGTCTACACCACAAAAACACATTCAAAAACTCCTCCTATTTTCAGCATTTTGGAGTTTTACATTTAAATTTAAGCCAATGAGTATAAAAATCTCATTTTCAAGACAATAAAAACTGAAGTAAAATTGTGTCCTCACAGACATACGTAGCCTAATTCATTTAAAAAGTCACCAATAAAAGATGTATCAGATGTAACTCTTACCTGTGCTGTGTGTCCAATTATTTGAACGAGGCGACACCTTGTGGTCGAAAAGAACATTACATGAGAAGACTTTCTAGAAGAGAAAAAAAAAAACAGCTAATCTATGCAACATAAAACCACAAAAAAAGGGGAAATTTTCTACTGATTTCTATTAATTAAAGGAAGCTAGTGACAAACTGATGTGCAGGGTTAAATTGATAGATTAATAGATATTTTGTGGCTGTTTCTAAAAATGTGAAAGTGGCCAAATTTACCTGACTTCACCCGAAAGAAGCAATGGTCGTGTCACGTTGTTGTGCCAGTTCGGACGGAAATACACTTTTTGACCACAGGAAGGGACTGCAGTTTGTTTGCTTCAAGTTCACGGCACAGGAAGAAGTTGGAGCGAAATCCAAAGGTAAGACTCACCCACGTGGCTTTGATCAGTCTTACGCATTTATTACGCACAGGCTATTTCACCACTTTTATGTGAATTTTAGTGTAGGACCTTTCATTAATTTCACAGTCCGTCCCAAGATTTCTTACCTGCTCTTGATGTTGGCAAGTGTTCAGAATAAAGTCTCTAAAACCTGGTCCTAACTAGCCTTGAGAATAGTTTGAAGTCTAAACAAAATTGGCGTTTTGGGAATTTAGAAATTGGTAATTAAATACAAGCAAGCACGTAATAATATAATAGGGCTGCTCGATTATGGGAAAAATCATGAACACGATTATTTTGATCAATATTGACATCACGATTATTCAAACGATTATTTTTTTTAGTTACATGATGCGTTTATTCAGCAATTCTCTCTCTAAAAACAGCAACAACTTTATTTATTGTTATTGATAATTTACGCAAAACTTTCAAAATGAAAATAAATATAGGCAACAAATATGTACCTTAGAGCAAAAATTAATAACATACTTTGAACATGTTATTAAGGCATGGAAAAATAAACTGTTATTATTATTATTATTATTATTATATATAAAAAATAAATAAATAAATATACTTAAAAATATAAATAAAATAGAATAATATATAGAATAAACTTTGTTAAGCTTTATCGTTTCAACTCGATTATATGAGTTTGGAGATCGTTTGAGAAATTGAAATCGCGATCAAAATTCGATTAATTGCACAGTTTTATCATGTAATAATTATTCTACTAGATCTACTAAATGTCGTTTTTTTTTTTTTTTTTTTTTTTTTTTTTTTTTTTTTTGGTCTATTTCGTTTCTGCGCATGTGACAATCGGCCGGAAGGGGGCGCCCACGTCTCAGTTCCAAACCCTCCAAATTACTCCACTTTGTAAGAGGTTGTCAAGTTGAGGGTAATGATTTAAATTCCAAAAGAAATATAATAACAAATCTAACCGGGTTTGATTAAATATTCACATTTAAAGAGTTTACTGAAGCACAAATCATGTCAAATGATCTGTGAGGATTTGTCTTTGATCACCTGTTGAGTGGCTCTATTTATCTCACACTCAAAGCGTTATTGAATTAGGAAAGTCTCGCTTAAACTTTATTTTGCAGGGGAATCCGGACCTTATTGAAAATGGAGGTGACACCCATATGGTCTAAAATGTTAAAGAAGTTAAAGAAGCCACGTTTAAGAAAACAAATGAATTGTATGTCTGTGGGTAGAACGGAGGAAAGAGGGAGAAAGAGAGAAGAGAGAGAAAGAGAAAGAGAGAGCGCCATAGAGAGAAAGAGGGAGGGAGAGAGAGGAGAGATGTTGGTTTGAGGTTTCTGAATGTGAACCAGGCGCTCAGAGAGGTCTCAGGGATGTAGGGAGGGAGGGGGAGACTGAGGATAAATGCGCTCTTTCATGTTACTTCTCTAGAAAGTGGCACGACGTTGGACTTTTACGCAGACAAAAAACTATCCATATTGAGTTTATTTTGTATACATTGTTTTTGAAAGCACCATGAGCGACGAGGCTTTAAAGAAACTCCGGGACTGAAACTTTTGGCTTGTTATTCAAAGAGGCGCTCCAGACGCTCAGAGGAAAGCGCGCGGAAGTATTGTCCTGTTTGGGAAGGTGTTGCGCATTAGTGATGGTTTAATCACTTCAGACTCGTTGGATGGGACAGGTGCTGGAATTTCACGGCCAATACATGGGCCATTAAGACGTATTTTTACTCCAAAAGTTGCTGTGTTTCTAGTCAGTGAAGTTTGGATTTGACTTTGAAGCTTCATCATCCTAAACAACAAAACCTGTATTTATTCCAAACTGAATCCTGCGTTGGAGAACAGAACTCGAGGGAGAAGTCTTTTTACGCACAGAAGTCATGCTACTGTTGCGCCGTTTGGACTGATTTTACACATCTCCTGGGGAATGGGAAAGTGAAGGAGCGTGTGGGAAGTGTGACCTGCTTTAATAACAGCTCAGTGGAAGTGATTTCGCAAATGCAATAATTAAAGAGGACCAAATATAGTTGTTTTATTTTTGTAAATGGAGCTGCGTAAATACCTGTTGTGCCTGGAGTTTATCCTCCTTCTCAAAGGTAAGAACAGTCAACTATGTGACTTTTGTGGTGGGAGGTCCGCCACCTGCTGGAGATGTTGTTGCTTTAACCTGGAATTACAGGTTACACAGTATGGCATTAACTTTTGTCTTTAGATTACTTTAGATTCAAGTGTTTTATTGCTAACTGTGATCCCCCAGTTGTCCAGGAAGGATCCATAGCAAAAGAAAAAATTAATTCTGTCAACTGGATGGAAGTTTTGCAGCTCATCCAAACACCTTCTTCAGTTCTGGTCCAATTGAAATTTTTCTTTTGCTATGTTTTATTGCTAAAAAAAAAAACTCCAAAAGCATGCATTATTACTGTGAGTGGGCCACCTCTCCATAGATGTAACCTCTGAGTTGACCTGGTTGTGTCTCCATGGAGATGGATAGTTTAATGCCATACAGTGGAACATTCTATGTAAAGAAATAACAGCTTCTACCACAGAAGTCAAATAGAGCATGAATTTAACCATGACTTTAAACTTGTTTTGACTGATGTGTGTTTGCTGACCATAACATGACCCCCCACACTGTCTGTATTCTGAAAAATGTGATAATTTAGTTCGTATCTTAAACAAGCAACATGTGCGTGTAATGGTGCCGCACGTGTCTCTTGACTCTCTTTAGCGCTGGGTCGTTATGCTGCGTGACAGTAGCGACTGACCATGGAGACATTCCTAACATGGCTGTGTGCGGCAGACGAGGGAAACCCCATCAAAACATATGGGCTCTTTCCATACATGCCCAATGATCAAAACCTATAGGGAGTTACGCTAAATAATAGTTTTGGATTCAGAGCTGGAAAACGCATCAGTGGAGATGGAGGAGTGAGCTTCATGCTTGTTAGGGGCCTCCTGTTAGATGTTTGCAGCTCAAAGATTTTGCTGCTGTGCCAAAGGTTAGTAGTTCAGCTCCTGTTTTAGCTGACACTTCATGGCAGCCGTGCAACTTGACCGCGTTAGCCGTATCAGCCCTTTCCATCTTGATGTCTAAACGACCCCCAACTCCTGATATGACCATGTGGGTTCCTCCAGAGTGAACTTCTACCCCCTGTTTCTTATAGGCTCACTTCAGTAGCGCAGCCTCAGACACCTCATTTAGCAATTTTGACGTCCTATGGGGATTCTGCATAAAAAGACCATTGTTGTCTGCCATAACTGTAGCAGGAGAGATAAGCATATGTAATAAGGTGTTATTTTGCATGGCATGTCGCCTAACCATGGCCGGATACCAACATGGTCAGATCTTTTCCATCTCTGTGTGTGAGTTCCACATTCATTCACAATAGTTTACACCTAAACTGCAGCAGTCAAATTATGCGTGTAATTAGAGTTAAACACCTACTTCTATTTAAAGATAATTTATTATGCAAAATTTACTGTTGTGAGTTGTGAGGTTAAGTCGTGTTATTATGTTGTTACCTTATCAAAAACAGACTTGGAGTTGTGTTTTGTTTCATTCACACATGTTTGAGTAACGCTTTGTAATTAATCTGTCTACATCTACAAAGCTCAAAATGCTCTGTTCCACCTTGTGACATCATGAAGAGATAGTTTTCAAGTTAACAGCGACCTTTAACTTTGGCAGATTGGCAATTCCAGAGCTGAAATTATCCACGATTCTAGTGAGGGTGTATGGAGTTTAAACACACAGTGAAGCACTTCCTGTATTACTACATGACATTACAAGGTGGAACAGAGTGTTTTCTGTTTAAGAGAAGAAAGCAGCGTTTGTGTGTTAAACAAAACATAATTCTAGGTATGTTTGTGATGAGGAAATAACATTATAACATAGAACAGAAAACAGTGTCATAAGGCCCCTGCAGTGTAAAGATGCACTGTGTAACATTTCTCTCACATGGTCCACTACATGCTTGCCTCATCTAAACGCACCCAACTTTTATATTAAATGAGTTACAGTTGTTTTAATTACCAAAAATACACCTTGGAAACATGCATTCTTTCTCTGAGCAGTGTCTCCTCTCCACAGATCTGACCTGCGAATTTGGCCTGTAGATTTCAATTGCTTTTCTCTATGAAGATTAAGGTCAAGACTTCTTAACTTTATGGACTGTAGCATCAACCTGCTCAGGGACTACAGGTTGAAATTCGCACTGGCTCTACAACCTACTACAATGTATCTCTTCTATTAAGGTTAATGTAGACTGTGCACTGTCCCTGTCTCATTAAATAAATGAGACAGTGGGGCGCCAGTCACAAAAAACTGTCATGTCCTTAGGCAAAGCACTTCACCCACATTGCCCAGTATGAAAGTGGTTTGTGCGTGAGTGATGGTGTTGGTCTGAGGGGTCGATGACGCAGATTGGCAGCCAAGTTTCTGTCAGAGAGCCCCAGGGCAGCTGTGGCTACAAAAGTTACTTACCACCACCAGGTCTGGAGTGAATGAATAATGATCTGTAAAGCGTCTTTGTGACAAATATCTGTGAAAAACTCTATATAAATAAAAACTTACTTACTTAAACTAAACTAAACTAAACTTAAGTTGTAACAGTTTAGGTCTGACAAGGAGTTGGCACATTCATCCTCATGTGACGTCTCCAAGGTGATACTATAGATAAGTTTAATGCCATACTGTGGAACATTCAAGGCAAAGCAGTAACAAACCCGTGCTGGTTCGCTCACCACCATAAAGCTACACAGTGCACCTATATATGAAGCTTTAGAGCATATGTTTTGATATTTACTGCATTTCTGGTCAGTGAATTAGAGGCCTCAGCATCCTAAAGTATTCTCAGTAAAGCAAGAAGGTCGTGGATGAATTGGAAAAGTTACAGAGTGCACCTTTAAGTGAAGCCTATAGCCGTTTATGTTTTGATATATGAGGATTTGCAGAGGAGCTGGATGTGTGTTTGGATGTGTCAGTGGAGCGTGGAGGTGAGCCCAGTGCGGGGGTATGCGTGTAATGTTAATGCTTTAAACAGAGACTTAATGCAGGCAGCAGCCGGCAGTTCAAGTCTATTACACTTTGTTATGCTTAAGTAAAATGTTCAACGCAGGTGTGTGGATCCCCTCTCATTCATAAATCCTCAGTGTTATTCTCACAGCAACGATTGTCTCCTTTTCTTCTCATCATTTGCTGACTTTAAGATTTGCTACGCCCACGGTTGGTCCCCGGGAGAGAGTGACACATGTGAGAATACAGCAGCATTGATAATGAAGACACAAGCTGTGTTTGGAGTGAGAGGAGGTGAAGCGGAGGTGCTCAACAGTGGATTACTTTAACAGAAGTTCCTGAATATGTTCTTCGATACAAGATGACACAGTTGCCAGCTCAATGTCATTTTTCTCTCATAGGTCCAATGCATAACTTTTCTAAGGCTGTGTTCAGACTGCAGCCTAAAGTGACCCAAATCTGATTTTTTCGCCCCAATGTGACCTGTATCTGATCTTTCAATCACAGTCTGAGCAACACTGATCCGATTTTTTCAAATGTGATCCATGAGACTTGGATATGTGGTCCTAAAACCGATACATATTTGATCTTTTGACATGCGGCTTCAGTTTGAACGGCCAGGTTGCATTCATCCCACCTACAGCGAGTTCATTAATATTTGGGGGGATCACTGTATTCAGGCTAAACTGGAGGGGTCTTATCGGAATGTCAATAATGTCAACAAAAATAAAGAGCCTGTGAGCCAAATACAAGGAAGCTAAAGACTCAAACGAACGAAGCGGCCGTGGACGTGTAACCTGTCCATTATACGAAAAACTGGGCCATATTTTGGGAGACATGCCCAGCGTTTAGGTGACTTCCAAAAACACTGAGCACACTGACTGCATGTGACGTCGATGTGTCCTCTAATGCACATGCGAGACACTTTTGGGGCATTTAAAGTTCACACTGGAGATCACAGACAAGTCGTATTTAAATTGAATGACCTTGGAAAAAAATCTGATTTCACAAAAAAGTGCAAATTGAGCATTAAGCCCTGTAAGTGTATGTAGGTATGCCAATTGCTTGTCTTCATGATGTTACTGTTTAGTAATATTCCACAGTATGGCATTAAACTAGCATTTACTTAAGTGCAGATCTTGCTAAAAAGAAAACGTTAAAAAAAAACTTACTGTGAGCTGGTTTGCCTCTCCACGGATATCACCTTTAACTTGACCTGATGGTGTCTGATGCTCGCATCTAGGGAAACAGAGATAAGTTTAATGTCATATTGTGGAGCGTCCTAACGAAAGCAATAACATCTTCATACATTTTAACACAATTAGGTGACATGTGGTGCAGCTTTAAGTCATTTGAATCAGTACTGAAGAAGTGGACAGACCAAGCACAAGTGACAGTCGGTTTATTGAATAGGGGAGTGATTGAGTTGAGTTTCAGCTAAATAACTTCTGCAGTTTATTATTTATGATGAAATAAAGTCATGTACATATATGGCACCATCAGTTTGTCATGTTTAATAATGCGTTGCTGTCCAGTGTCCACAAGTTAAGCTTTGAGTTCTGGAGTTGATTGATTGATTCATTTTAATTTCAGGTTTGTACCAAGAGAGAAACAATAATCACACATACTACATATACATTGTAAACAACAAAAAAGCACATTTCTCAAAAAGGAGAAAGTGGGAAGAAGAAAAACTTATATTAACCTGTCACTATTCATTCCATAGTTTCAAAACTGATGTGGCTGTTTATGTACACTGATCACGGAACTTTACAAATATTTGCATATAGCTAAATAAATTACATACTATGCATACAAAATATAATTTTAAGCCAAAACCTTTTTTGTATTGTACTGTATACACATGTATACACATACGAGTTCAGTGTTTGAGAAAAGACAGGTCCCATTTAAGCTGTGCAAATCAATGTACTTCTATTCAAATTGGGCTCAAATTCCTACTGATCCTATTTGAGTTCCAGGTCAGGTTCAGGTGTATTATCTTAGGAGAGTGCAGTCTTGAATTGACCATATGTAGTACAGTTTAATAGAGGATTATATTATCTGCATTTGACCTATATT